GTTTATCAACAGTATCTCTCAAACCCAACTCTTTCCGTCTCCATTACTTTACTCTGGTTGAAGCCTCCATCAACCTCTCACTAGGACTGCTGCAATAGCTCCCTTCCTGGTCTCTCCCGACTATACAATGCATCCTCCACAACACAGCCAAGTGATCTTTTCAAAATAGTAAGTCAAATCATGTCCTTTAAGTTCACCAACGGCTTCCTTCCCTTCACACTTAGAATGAAACCCAATCTCTATCGGGGTCTTCACGGCTCCCTCCAATCTGTTCTCTGCTCACCTCTCTGACCTCACCTCCTCCCACCCACTAGGTTTCAGCCAGCATGGTTTTCTACTTCTCAAAACTTGCCAGGCTGATTCCCTCCTAAGACATTCTCACAGGAATGCCTTTTACCTGGCTCTTGGTTTTGCTGGCTTCATCTCAGCATCCAAGCCTCAAATTTTAAACATAAATGTTACCTTCTTGACAAGGCTGCCTCTGACCAACCCATCAAAAATAGCCCCACTGCTACCATCAATCACTCCAGCCTCTCTCATTTTTTACGGCACTTTCCACTCTATGTTAATTTAGGGCTTCAGTCCCTTCCCCCAGAACCTAAGTCCCACAAAGGTAGAGATTTGTCAGTCCAGCTCAGCGTTACATGCAGGAACATCTGGCACAGGGCAACAAATAGTTGCTGAATGAATTAAAGAGTGAATTTTACTTTGACGTAACAACTTCTGGCAGTGAAATGAAAAGTATACTGGTGATGAGTATGACAGAATCAAAAGAGAAATTATGAAAATCACTCGGAAGAGCATTAATCTCAGAACTTTTAAATTATCCTTTTCTTAACAGTGCTAGTAATAGATCACATTTCTAAGGGCCACTAATGAATTATTAGTAAAAGTTTCACACAGCCACAGTCTGGAGTTTTGGAAGTGTGTCATCTTGTTCAAATCTGTTTCTAGGAGAGCACTGTGAGTAAGAGCCCGGGGCTTCAGTTAGGCCTAAGTTCAATCACAGATCTGCACTGGAATTTGAACAAGTTACTTACCTCTTTATGCCTGCCTTGTCATTTGTAAAATGGAACTATTAATAGCTATTTCGTAGTCATTAGTCACTGTGAAGATTAAATGACGTTTTTAAAGCATCTAGTTGTATCTGGCATGCAGTAAGGAGTCAACAAATTGTCATTATTATTATTATGAATGCTGAGAATAGGAAGGTCCAGACAAATGGGACAGCTCAAAAACTGTGTGTACCTACTGTAATATAAAGCATGCTAGGTAAGTAATTCTCAAATTTTAGTGTACAGAAGATCCACCTAGGCAAATCCCAAGATTCAGATTTACTAAGTCGAGGGTGGAATTTTCAGAGACCTGCAATTTTCACCATAAATTCAGTCAATTCTGATTCACTTGGTCCATTAACTCTGATAAACCCTGTGCTAGGTGTCCTAAAGATTATAGAGGTTACTTGAGCCTCCTGTCCTCTATGAATTTACAATCTAAAAGGGGTACAAACAACATATACAAATAATACAAAGCAATGTAGGAAAATTAGTGTAGATTGTACAGGCAAGACTTTAAGGAAGAAAGGTCATCTGTAATAAAATGATGAGTAGGAATTCATGAAGAACACATTTCCCAGACTTTCAGGAATAATGTTACAAAAGAAAGTACAATGAGCAGACAGCTTGGCAGGAACAGAGGATCTGCAGTTAGGATGGAAAAACAATGTTAGGAAAAAAAAATAGAGGCTCTAGGATACCATCAATGCCAACCTAAACAGTATGGGCTTTATTCAGTGCTGGCACTACGAAGTTAATGGTTTTTGAGGAGAGAAATGATAAATTCGGGTGTTGTTCTTTGGAAGAGTACTCTAATGAAGCTATGCAAGATCAAGTAGAACGAGAACAACAGACAATGGCAATAGTGAGGCTGTTAGCACTCTAATCTCAAAGAAATGAAAGTCAGGAGAGGGTAATGAAAATGATTGAAGAGGAAGGAATGGCAACTCTTAATGACTCAGGCATGACAATCACAGCTGACTGCTTCACTCCTTAAGTCCAAACTGTATCACTGTCAGTTTCATGTTACTTTTTAGAACTTTTTCTTATATAACTAATTAGAATAAGTATCTAGAGTTCACTTAAAACACAGCCCACAATTAAGAGGTCAGTAAATAGGCCTCTGACTAGTCAAAATACATGTCACATAGTTCATACACTAAAGAGTATTTGTGTATATATGATAAACATATATACATATACAATTGAAAGAACATTATTCAGAGCTGCACAATCTTATTTTACACAAAGTTCTAACAAATATAAGCATCTAATTTCCAAACCCACAGCAGTTTGGAAGCAAAAATTAGGAGAAAAGAGCCTGCTATAGGTGGACATACCTAAGAGTCTGAGGTTCAAGAGAAAAAATGAAAACTATAAAAAAGCACACACAATCACTCAGGGTAAGTTCTCCACAACTGTTTATTGACAGGTACACATGATTCCCAGAAAAACGAAATTAATGAGATTCTTCCTTCATGTTCCAAGCAACTACCACAGAAAGAAAGCTTTTAAACATTCTTTAAAGCTAAAGATTTCAAAACAAATATTCACCTGATAAAAAGATAATTTTTAAAAGATGGCTGATACATGCCAACATAGACCCTCTCACCAGTACCCAAGATATAGTCAATAAATATATAATTTACAACACACAAAGTTTGAAGATGATTAAAAATGCTCTCATAAGGCATCTCATCAAGAATATGGCCCCAATGATGAAGTTTAATTTGGGTAATTCTTTCCTGATGGCTATGACTTGGAATTCCAGGTCCCAAATAATATGAAAGCATCCTCAACAAGAATTAACACCAATAAACTGGTCTTAAATACATACCCTATAAATTTACCTACTAAAATCAGGCAACATTACTTGACACTCAACATCATGTAACAATAGGCTAGATGACAATCTTTAAAAAGACTTTTAAACATAGCAATTCATGAAGGTCTCTCACTTTGTTCACCAATACTTATTAATGTTCATTATAATACTGTTCATATAAAGACCTAATCTATTTTATAAACAGTTAAAAACATCATTGGGGGAATTAGATGTTAACTGACTGAAAGTTACACTTAAGTTTATGATTAAGTTTAAAATATATACTAAAGCCATGAACCTATATCTTTAATTATGTAGAATTATTAAACTATATATTATTGGAATAAGAAGAGTTTAGGTTTCAGCTTGAGAGTTTTTAAATAGCAGAACAGCAAATCAGTGTATATTTACAACACTATAACATTAAAATTACCTTAAGTATATTGTAGGGATAAGTCAACTAAACGGAATTAGGCCTCTCATTTTCTTTCACATGGCAAAGGATAGAGAAAATTAAAGCATACACTTCAAAATTTCATAAAATAATCAGGCCAGATTAAGATATCAAAGATTAAGATTATGCTCCAAAATGCCAAACATGCTACGTTATAAATATGTAAACAAATAAAGCAGTCAGTTGCACCCCCACCCAAACCCATCTCCTTATAATCATCCTGGCTCTCTAGAAGCATACAACATGAGGACACTAACCGAAGCCAAAGAAATGTGCCTAGGAGACAGTGTTTTTCAAAGTGCAACCTGTGACCCACAAATCAATTTAGTGGACTTCAGTCAGCATTTTTAATGAAAGAGAATGGAACATAATAGAAATTATCAGAACGCATCATATGTAATAAGGGTAAACAGTGCTCTGTGAAACTTTTCATTCATATATAGGTATGTACTAGATCATAACATAAAAAGTACTTCTTAACATGGGGCATGATTTAAAAAAAAAAAAAAGTTTGAAAGCTCTTACCCTAGAGATCTAGTTCTAATGCCTCAGGACCCAAAGGCTGAGTGTTTTCATTAGTCCTCAGCACCTACAAGTAATCTCTTTGCTCAAGATGGCCTCTTGGAAACCAATTTAAGAGCTCCAGGGCAGCGTAAAAAGAACAGGGACTGCCCCAGCTAAGCCTGTGTCTGGACCTAAAAGGGTTGCTGACGTCCCCAAACAACAGCCCTAGGCGGTGCCTACAAGCTCCCAGTAACTGAGCAACCTTCAGACTAGAGCTCCTCCTTCCTCAACTGGCTGTCAACAGTTGAACTCTTCCAACCAACTTTCCTTAACTACAACTTCTAAAATCACTGTTTCAAGAGAAGACAGTATGAAATCTTCTCGCTTCATCAATTCCCAGAATGTCTTCCTAGGAGAGGATCTAGAACTCTGTATTCCCCGTTCTCATCAAAGAAGGAAGCACCACACAGGATCCTTACACTGCCCCCTTCCCAGATCCTAGGACAGGGTACTCCTCCCAGGCCCCGTCTTACTCCAATTCCCTCACTCTGAGCGTCTCCCAACTCGAGGGCAAAACGGTTCTCCCAAAAGCCCGTCTTAAACTAACGCATCCTTTCATCAGCCGCCTGGAAGGAGCAGGCCTAGTGTCCCAGGAGCCTGGAAATGCCCGCCAGCTCCGTTCCCCACCAAACCTCCCTGGGGACATGTCCTCTACTACCCCCCCCACGCCCCTCACCTTTGGATACAGGAGTTCAGAGACAAAGTTTCCTATTTCCCCAGCACTCGTCTCCATCTCCTACCACCCAGGGGGCATTTTTCCATTCCCCACGCCCCTCGTAAGGTGAGAAGCCGGGATTCTCCCAGGGACTCAGGCACCTGCCTCCTCCCGCCCCCGCCCCCACCCGCCAGGCCCTCCCCCTCTTCCCAGCCCAGGACCCTCCCCGCGCCTCCCCAGCCAGTCCAGGCCCCATTCTCCCTCCAGCCGCAGGCAGGTGGCCCATCCCTCCCTTCCTCCCAGGCAGGCCTCGTCCCGCTCCGAGTTCTTGCCCGCGTTCCTCCACACTGCGCCCCGGGAGGAACGGCCCTCCGCGCCTCGGCTCCGGAGGGGAGCGCTTGGGGCCTCGAGAAGCCGGCGGAGCCGGCGGGCCCGGGCTCCACTCACCCCTCAGCCCGGGAGGCGGGGGAGCTGCTGCGGCGGCTCCTCGGGCTGCGCCTCTCCTCCCCCCTCCCGGCCACCGCTGTCGCTGCCGCTCAGCCTCCGGCCTGGTCCCGGGCGGCCCCGGCCCGGCTCCGCTTCACCTCGTCCCCCACTCTGGCCGCCGGAGCCCAGTGTCCTGCATTGACCCGGAAGCAGCTTTCACGGCCCAACAACAACACGTGACCCTGCCGCACGTGTCACGTCCGCTGCGTGAATGGGAGGGGGCGCCGCGGGAGCGGGTCCTCCTCCACCAAGCTCGGGTTGCCATGGCAACGGGGAGGCCTGCACAGGCCTGGGCCTCGCTACTAACGCGCTGCATCTGCTCTTCCCCTTGGCCGTCCGGAGGGCACACCCTAGGTGCCAAGGAGGAGTAAATTGTCCCATCAGAGTGCGGTGGGGACGGGTCAGAGCAGAGCCTGGGCAGCTGAGAGGCTGTGGCTTTACAGAAAGGAGCATTGGGCTGAACCTTTGCAGACTTACCTGGAATGTTGTCCTGGCTCTGTCACTAATTTTCTGTGTGACCCTGATTAACTCACTTACTGCCCCTGGCTTCAGTTTCCTCACCAGGCGAGCTCTAGGCTGTAATCTAATAAAAATCCCAAGATGCTTTTGCATGAGGTTGTGCTAGCACTCTGACCTTTCTTCTGTGCTCCCTTTGCAAGGCCTGTGTCATCCTGAGATTTCAGCGCTCGGGCACCAATGGAATAATACCAGTTTCCATGCATTGAGCACCTTCCAGGTACTAGGCACTGTACACAGGCTATTTCTAATTTTAACAACTTGCCAAAGTAAGCATTTTGTAGAATTGAAAACTGAAGCTCACGGAGGTTCAGTGATCTGCCCAAGACCATCCAGCGAGTAAAAGTGATCAGACTGAGATTTGAATCCAGGTCAGTCTGGCGCCAAACTAAAGTCCATGCTCTTCACATTATGACATGCTATTGCTCTAGCTCCAGATACATTATATTTGACCATTGGGCTGTGATTGCTTATGTACTTATTTCTCCATTTCTTTTGCAGGAACAAAATGGAATAGGGATGGTGTTGGCTGGTCCTGAAGAGAATTCAGCCTTGTATGGATATGTCAGCTGAAGTGCTAGGAATCGGAAAGGTCTATGTGCTACACACATAAGATGTGTGTGTTTTTATGTGGTGTGTGTCATGGAGCTGGTGAGGAGTTGTGATATGCATGCACATGTATATATTGGTTCCTAGAGTGGGGGAGAGAAAATTCTTTAAGGGGGACCCAATGGTAGCTTATCACTGCAACTCCTAGGGACTTACTAACTCTCTCATCGTGTTTTGTCTTACCCCATAGGTAGAGCTTAGAGAAGTTAGAGGGGGGACAAAAGCCCAAAAGAGCTGGCTTTTTAAAAAAAGATTTATTTATTTTAGGGAAAGAGAGAGAGCAGGGGAAGGGGCAAAGGGAAAGAATCTCAAGCAGACTCCCCGCTGAGTGCAGAGCCCAAAATAGGGCTTGATCTCAAGATCTGAGATCATGACCTGAGCCAAAATCAAGAATCAGACGCTCAGCTGACTGAGCCACCAAGGTGCCCCTCCAAAAGAACTGGCCAAAGAAAATGCTTTGAGGATCAAGAGGAGGGTGAGCCAAGCAGGGTGACTTAGGTTGCTGAGGTGGGGACTTTCCTCCTCCTTCTGCAGAGAACAGAGCAGTACCTTCAAATTACCCTCAATGGCAAGAACCAGAGAAGAACAAAGGGATATGTACACAGAGGAGGAAGAACACGGTTGATGCTGCATGGATATTTTGTTGATAGACTTCCCTGTGAGCTCAGGTACCACTGGGGACACACCGAAATACTCAGGAGGCTGTGAACAGCTAGAAAAAGGCAAGAAATGTGGATCATTGGTGGACAATGTATATAAATACATATATGAGTATTGTCTGATTGGGTGTGATTAGTTATATATGTCTTTGTTTCTTTGAGATATCGTTGAGTCATTTTGCTTTTGTTCCCATCTTTCTCCTTATAAAGCAAACTCCTGAAGACAAGATCAGTTTCTCCACCCTTCTCCTATCTCCATAAGATGGCCAGAATTATGTTTCTAAAACTCCTATCTGATCATGTTATTTTCTGGAATTTAAAATCCTTCTGAGACTTTACCCTCAGGGGTAAAGTCACAATTATTAGCATGCTCCTCAAGGCTTTTCATGGTCTGGAACCCTGCTGACTTCTCCAGTCTCATTTCTTGCCCTTTTACCCTCTTGCTTTATTGTCCTATGTTCAGCCTGGTAGCCACTAGCCACATGTGGCTATTTACATTTAAATTAATTAAAATTGCATTTCCTGAGTTACATGACACCACATTTCAAGTGCTCAGTAGCCATATGTGACTAGTGGCTATCATATTGGACACTATTGATACAGAATATTTTTATCATCATAGCAAGTTCCTTGGGCAGTGCTGCTCTATACTCTCAATACCTCATGTATGATATATTCTATGGGAATTTGCTCAGCTAAGCCCTTTGCTTGAAACATTCTTCTTCCATGGGGTGCCCTGGTGGCTCAGTTGCTTAAGCGACTGCCTTCAGCTCAGGTCATGATCCTGAAATCCTGGGATCGAGTGCCCCATTGGGCTCCCTGCTCAGCAGGGAGTCTGCTTCTCCCTCTGACCCTCCCCCGTCTCATGTGCTCTGTCTCTCTCAAATAAATAAATGAATAAAATCTTAAAAAAAAAGAAACATTCTTCTTCCACCTCCTTGAATCTGAAAATTCTACATAATTGCTTATTTTGTTGTCTCCTTGATAAGCATGTAAGCCTCAATGAAGGCAGGAGCTAGGTCTATCTTGTTCCCCATTGATTCTCCATTATCTTCAAAGGATTGTCATGTAGAAGGAGAGAAGAAATGTTGAACTAAAGTGAGAGGCAGTAAAAGAAAGGCAAATTTCTGGTCTGGTTGGTTTTTTTTGTTTGTTTGTTTTTGTTTTTAGAAATTGTTAATAATTCAATTATTTTGACCTAGAAACAGCCATTTCATATGGTTCAACCTAATAGTAAGGAAGAACTTTGGAAGAATTGGAGCTGCTTCAATTGGTTCTAATGAGTTCCCTGTCACTGGGATAGGTTAAGCCAAAGCAGACTCTGTTGGAACAATGTGTGAATATTTCCTGGATTGGGTAGACTGCTTGACTGGTCTGAGTCTAAGAATCTAAATCAGGGTTTCTCCAACTGATTCTTTAATTCAAGGGTTGAGTAGACCATAATGACAGTCATAGCTAGCCAAAGTCTATGTATCAGATACTGCTTAAGATACTTCACATAGATTATTTCCTTAATCCCCACAGTGATTGTATGAATTCTATTTGGATTTATTAAGTGAGACTCAGATTAAGCAATATATCCAGAACATACAGCTAGCAAATGGCAGAGGCTGAACTCATATTTACGTCAGTATGAAGCTGAGCTCGTAATAACCCTGTAATTAAGGGATAGAGTTCTACCATGAAGTTTCAATCATATATTTGCACATCCTTTTAATGTAACAAACGTTGGTTTTATAATGAATAGATTCCTTGCACTTAGGTAGTTTGGGGAAAACAAAGATGGATAAGCCATGGCTGCTATGGTGTAGTTGAGAAGGTAATGCATATACTCAAATAATAGTGATAGAGAACAATTAATAGTATATTATTTTAAAAGGGAAGTCATCTTAGCTGAAGGCATCTCTCAAGTAAGCAATAGGGTGAGGACAGAATTATATGAGAATTCGATCATATATATGAGAATTATATGAGAACAAAACAGTACACATATGGGAACACAGGAGAAGGGAAAAACAACCACTTCACTTGAAAGAAAAATGATTGGTTTGGAAATTAAGTCTGCAATATTGGTCCTGGTTTTTCCACTAACCAGCCATGTCACTGGACCTCTTTCTGCTTTATCTACCAAAAAACCTGGACTGGAAAAACTACCAGGGTGAATAATTATCATTAAATAATAATTAAAATATTATGTATATACCTTTATTATACATACATGCCTTTTCAAGAGGAAATGTCAGAAGGATTCCATCAGATTTACAAAGAAATCACAACTCAAAAAAATGTTAGGTTTCATTGTCACTTTAAATTCTGCAATTCTGAGATTCTATATTTTATTTTTGTCAACATTATTGACATATCTGTCAGGAAATGGACTGTCATGCCAAACTTACTGACCAAGCAAAGGGCAAAGATATTTTTATTTTAAACTGGAGAGTCATACGTAGAACGATTTAGAAAGTATCCAGATTTCCTTACTGGGCAGAATATGGTCTTAAAAAAACAACTCTTAATTTGCTTTCCTGCAATTTACATAAATGGATCAGTCATGTGGAGCTTAATTTTCAAGGAGGCCTTGCATTATTAAAAATCATTGGCGACAAATTGATGTAAGACTTACTAACATACATACAGATTACTACACATACAAATGTACACAAATGTACAGCCCAATGAATTATCAAAAGCAAAAACCTGTGCAACACCACCCTACCAAGCCATCGAATGTTGCCAGTTTCCCAAAGCCTCCTCCCTAGTCACTATAGCCATTATTCTCCCCAAACTACTATTCTGACTTCTAATATTGTAGCTTATTTTCCCGTTTTTAACCATTTTTTAAAAGATTTTATTTATTTATTTGACAGAGAGAGACACAGTGAGAGAGGAAACACAAGCAGGGGGAGTGCGAGAGGGAGAAGCAGGCTTCCCGCTGAGCAGGTAGCCCGATGCGGGGCTCGATCCCAGGACCCTGGGACTACGTATGACCTGAGCTGAAGGCAGACGCCTAACAACTGAGTCACCCAGGCGCCCCCCCATTTTTAAACTTTATATAAGTGGAATCATATGAGATGATTTAAATACTTAATGCTGTGAGAGTTATCCACATTGTTGCATATAGCTGTAGTTTACTGATTTTTGTTGCTAAATAGTGTTTCATATTGTAATCACACTACCATTTATTTATCCATTCCCCTGTTGAAGGACATTTGGGCTATTTCCAGTTTTTAGTTATTGTGCATAATGCTGCTATAAACATTCTTGTGCTTAACTTTTACTGCACATATATACATACTTCTGTTGGGAATATACCCAGGAATAAAACTAATGGATCTTAGCTTTGGATCAGAACTGTCCTAGAAATAT